AAAACGTTTTTTGGCATATGTGAAAAAAACGTAGAAAACAGTAAAAAGTGTCATCGCGTCACGTAATATGATTTTAAAACACAATCTTTTAGAATAAAAATATGCGCATCAAGAAAAGAAGTTGAGATCAAGAGGTGAAAAAAAAATACTCATTTTTCGTTACGCCATGGCGTTATAAATAGGGTAGTTTTACTTAAGCTCGCTGTAAAAAAAGTATAGCACATGAGAAACTCACTGTTATGGGAAAATATACATCTATTATCATAGTCTTAATTGATCTTAATCAACTTTATATATACTAGACTGTTAAAATATACGGGTTAAGTGAAGTCATGCTCTAAATGGAGGAACTTTTTTTGTTTCATTAGTGGCCTCTCGATTACCAATTATCAAATGCAATTTAAAGCACTTATTCACGGAACGAAATAAGTATCTCTCCACTTTAGATCATACTCTACAACATGGCAATAATGATTTCTTAAGATACTGATTTCGAACTCTCGGTCATTGAGGTAACGCGTGACGCGTACAACTTGACCTCATCCATCCTTTCCATAGTTGATATATATACTCGCCATATAAGCAAATGACAATATGTTAAACTTATTTTTTTTTGTCGTTATGAATAATTAAAAAAAAGCATGATTTATTTCTTATTATTCGCATAATGAATCCATTCTGTCTTTGACTTGTGTCATAAACAGTAATTCATTTCTTCACTAGCACACTTTCATAAAATTGTGTCGTTGAAATTCTTCATTTATTAGAAAGATTTTCTTTTTCTTTGTCATTTCTGGCGTTTCAAAATTAACTAGCATAAAAAACATAGTAATAATGGATGAAAATTTTTTTATTTTCATAACGATTTTTTTCGCTTTTTTCTATCTAATAACTGTTATATTTTCATTGTTGGTTATTATAATCATTGTACGTCATTATTATTCTCAATATTGGTCAATTATTAATCTTTTAACATGTAATTCTTGTGTTAGTCTTCTTATTTATACAATTAGTTTTTCTATACAATTACCATCATTAATTCAAAATGCTTCTTTTAATTCAGAGAATAGAAATAACTTTTCTTGTAAGATTGTTGCTTGTTTAGGAACATTTGGTGCTACAATTCTATCATATTCATCTATGATTCAAGCGATATCTCGTTTTTTTATTATAATTCTTTATAAACATCGAATTCTTCTTACTTTTCGTATTCATTGGTTGATGATCATCATAAGTTGGATAATTAGTAGCATTATTGCTAGTAGTTTGCTTATTTCATCAGTAGCTTATCAATATGAAGATGAATCTCGTGTATGTACTTTGACAAGAAAAAATTTTCTTATATCATTTCTATCTTCCATCATTATTTTTATATTTCCAATGATTACAATAACTATTCTCTATGGAATTATTATTTGGCATATAAAACAACATAAACATATTAATTTGGGAAGTACAAATGCATCACGAGCGCAGAGAAATACGAAAGTATTTAAGAATATTTTTATTTTTACAAGTATTCTTGGAATTGGTGGCATACCTTATTTAATTTCTACTATAGTGAATAGAATAGTGCCAATTCCATGGCCATTATATTCTATTTCATTTTTATTCATCGCATGTGCGTCTGCTATTGGATCACTAGCAATTTTACTTACGAATGAACAAACTAAAGAAATTTTCTGTGCTAAACTTCATTGTCGTCAATTAATTAGAACAGGACAAGTAAGGAATAAAAAATTAGCTAGAATCAATCAAATTATGCCGTATTATAATAAAGCATGAAATTAAAATATTGCCGGTGAACTTGCAGATCATGTACATATGTTTTTTTTATTGATCTGTACAAATACTATTAGAAATAAACATGTTGAAAAATGTCATGTATCTTTGTTTAATAAATAAAATAAAATAAAATTTCCTAACAACTAATGAAAAAGTCCATGCAAACCTGTCTCTCTGATATACTTGAATATAATAATAAACGATTAATAATAATAATGTAGTTTAGTCAATGGGGAGGAAAAAGCAAGACTTCAGTACTCTGAAATACTGAAGTCCCGCTTCTTCTTCTCTCTTGAGTTTAATATAATTTTATAAATAGAAATTTTCGACTTATTTGTATGTCTATTGATATAAGTATAAGTTTATGGTATAGATTAAAATCGATTTTTTTGTTGTTGTATTTTAATTTTCTAGCTTTTATTTTTTGTTTTATAATAAATAGTTCAGTTAAAGTGACAAATGATCTCAAGATTTTTTTTTCGTATCGGAAAGTCTGGTAGAAAATTCTTCAAGAATAATTATGCGTCATATACCATCGCTTATAGTATCTAGACAACAAATTTAGCTATCCATTTCATTAGTGCTTACAATAAATTATTATGCTCCAATATCATAATTATAAAATAAACATGTGATGCAATGTATCCTTATTTTTATAATCCACCTAACCTGCACTGCTACTTGTCTAAATAAATACTTAAAAAAACATTAAAAAAATGAAATTTGAACATATTTCCGATTTTTTTCTGGTCTTCTGATTTTTCTAATTTTTTGCCGAATCCCAAACGTTTTTTAGATGGTGGCTGTACTAGTGAAATTAATTACAAGTATAACCCATTAATATTATAGATCCGCGTTCCGTTACCTTCTTGTCTGTCTTAACTTTTTGTAGTTTCTGAGTTCTGCAGCCATTGACGAGTGTTTGAATATATCAGTAAATTTTTGCGTTGCTGAACTTAAGAATGAATGCTAGCTTCTTTTTTTTTTGAACGATTTTGTAAACATATTTTAGCTCAAAAACATTTATTGAAGGAATTTCGAACAAAAACTTGAAAAATAATATGGAATTCATTTTCTATAACCTTTGTTATTTTTCATAAGAGTTTTTGATTTGCATGGCTTACATATATGATTTTTTTGCGCATATTTTTCTTAAATAGAGTTTTAGGCTTCTTAAAAGAATCTGATACTAGGTGTCTTTTGCTAGCTTCTTTTGTATTAACTAACAATTGAAGGCCATATAACTGCAAAGTAAGGAGATCGGTCATAGTCGAATCAAATGAATGTTCTTACTTACAGACGAACTAGTTTGAAACATGAGCTGCCAATAGCGTACACAGATCGAGATGTTTACATTTCAAGTTATTTACACTTTGTCATGTGCTCACACCACGAAATTTCATCAACACTTAGGTTTCTTTTTTCGTCATGGTCAGATGAAACGCGACTATTTACATTAAAAGCAACAATATCACACATATTCAAATGCAATTTGACTGCAATTAGAATTTTTTTGTTTATTACCTTTATAATTAAAAAAGATGTTATCCTAGACTTCGTAGAAATTGCTTTTTAATATGTGTGATATTGTTTTTTTCTTATGTAAATGGTCGTGCTCCATCCAACCATGACGAAAAAAAAGAAAACTAAGCGTTGATGAAATTTCGTAGTGCGTGCATATAACAAACTGTAAATCTCTCGAAACTCGAATATCTCGGTCTGTATACGCTGTTGGCAGCTTTTATTTTTAATTAGTTGGTTTGACGGTAAGAGCATTCATTTGATCCAACTATGATCAGTCTTCTTAGCTTACAGTACACGATCTTTCACTCTAAACTATATAATGTTGGTGTTGTCTTTCTTTACTATGAAATACTTTTGGAAATAAAATATGAGTCGATAAACAAAAAAAAGTGAAACATTTTGTGCAAGTATGCCAACATGATAGCCCTTTGTTTTGCAAGAAGTTACTCTTTCTGATTAGTTTCCAATTTCGAAGAAAAAATTCTGATTTTATTCTGATTTTGAAAACAAGAGTTTCTGATTTTCAAGTTTTTCATCCGGCAACCCTGGTTAAAATACCAGAAGTGATTCTTTCCTTCTTCTTTTCTTAATTGTTCACAGAAAGAACAAGCAAAAAATGCATGTGTGATTCAGACGAAGGAAAAAAATAGAGTTACTATCTAGTTCAGAAATAAATAAATCATTCTGAAAAAGTAAAATTTCAATGGGCAAAAACTTACTCATAAAAATTATAATGGGCAAATCTCCAAATGAAATGGGGAATTGCCTAGATTTGCCTCTCCCTTGGCTACACCGCTGAACTTCAGGTTCGACGATTTGACATGTATAAATCACCGAAAAGTTACATCGAAATCTCTGAAAGCCGAAAAATCGAAAATTGCGTTCCTGATTGATGGACTTTCTGACCAATGAGAGGTCTGATGAAAAAAACACAAGTCAGATTCGCGTTTCTCGCCCTCGATAGCTTATAGTAATGTTTCATCAAAACGCCCAAAAAGAAGAAAAGTAAGAAAAATCGTTTCTGATTGCTCGACTTTCTGGTCAATCAAAGTCCAGATAAAAATCTGACCTGAGATTCGGGTTCCACGCCCTCAATAACCTGTACCAAAGTTTCATCAGAATGGCCAAAAACCCGAAGAAGGGAAAAGCTCGTTTCTGATTGGTCAGTTTCCCGATCAATGAAAGCTCGGATCAAGAATCTGATTTCGAATTCGGATTCCTCACCCCCGATAACCTTTAGCAAAGTTTCATCAGAATACCCAAAAACCTAAAAATAGAAAAGCTGATTTCTAATTGGCTTGGACAGACAGACAAACATACATACCAATATTTCGTTATACTGATTTTTCTGGCTTTATATACTGGGTGTGGGTGTGTTGGTGTGAGTGTGGCTCTTCTAATTTATCTACACCCACAGTCACACCCATACCCTCTATAGAAAGCTTGAAGAAATTTTCTTTCTTGACGTGGTGATAGAGAAGACGATGCTCTATTTTTCTGTGCTGTTTGATCACTATTCAACCAATATCATAATAATAAAATTTCAATAAGAGTTGTTTTGATGTGAAACTTTACTAACGGGTGAGGCAGATTAATATGGTTTGCATTTCAGTTGTCAATCACTTAATACGTTGTATTAAAAAACAAAATATACTACAGATGCAGCGTGAAAAGCTCTACAATTTACAAAAGAACAGTTTATTTTATATATGAAATAAGAAAAAGATTATTTTTTCGGGTCAGCAAAAATTGGTCGCACAGAATCTTGGTATTTTTTGAAAACAAGAAGTAGACAATTAAAGTAAGCTTTACTTTTTAGATTGTAGAGCTTTTCGCGCAGCATCTTGTAATATATTTTGTTTTTCTTAAATAAAAGATATCAGGCGACAAAAAGATGCAATAAAAAAAATGAATTCATCTTGTACCAAAAAATATCGTTTCCGCATGATGAAAAATTGGTTGCTCAAATTTTTTTGTCACTTTGAAAACAAAAAGTGCAACTATAAAATAAGCGATCTTTCGTAAATTGTAGAGCTTCTCGCGCTGTATCTTGTAGTATATTTTGTTTGTTAATACAATGCATTAAGTGGTTGAAACATCTAACCTGTCTCATCCGTTTGTGAAGTTTTACATCAAAACAGCTCTTATTGAAATTTTATTATTGTGATACTAGTTGAATAGTGATCAGATCGCACAGAAAAATAGAGCATCGTTTTCTCTACTACTACATCAGAAAAGAAAATTTCTCCAAGGTTTCTTTAGACAAATAAGAAAATGGAGCCACTACTTTTAGATTGCTCTAAATATTTGCTTTGGTAAATATATTTAAAGTGTGATAAAAAATATATAGCTGTTAAAACGACAGCTTTGCTGGTTCTCATCCAATCGCGGAAAGAAGCAATATATATACTTAACTTACACAATTATTATAATAATCGATAGATGAAACTAAGTAGCTGAGTAAAAAAAATACAATCATATGAAAGAACCACATTTGCCATCGATACCCATCCCAGCTCCACGAAAACGTCTATCTGTTCAAGAACGTAAAAGCGATCAAAATACAATACGATTACCTCAATTCATTCTCTATCGTACATTATGTGACAACATCATATGGCTTGATCTCTTCATAAATGAACGTGACTTCACTTTTGCTAATAAGATGATCACAGCTAATCGTTTGCATATTTTCTGTACGGCTACTGATTGTCATGATTTTCTTGATTTATTATCTCGACGACTTGATCTGATAACAAAGCGAGATATTTATTCAGTCATCGTCTCAGGAGTATATGTGATTAATATCAAAGTAATAGATCAATTGTTAAAACATGACTTCATTGATCAAATATGGTTAATTGTGAACGAACATTACTATGAACAGCTTCCTGATCTATTTCTCTTCAATCGAAAAATTAAAATGATCTATAATAACAAACCTGATATGGTTATGCGTCGTTTATGTGATGACTATTCTGATTTTGAAACATTTACTCAATATTACAATACACTATATGAAATAGCAAATGATTCAGCTAACAGTCTATTGAGCGATGTATTACCAGAAGGCGTCAATCACAAAATTGGCTGTTCTTATCGTTGGAAGATTCATCATAACAGTTCATTTACACATCTAATTGAAAATGCGAAATGTGATCGTTCAACTGCATTTAGAACGCCTGATAAAAACTCTTCCAACGACGATAATTGTTCTTCTCTAACAAAAGTAACATTTTCACAGATGACTCAAACGAATCAATTGGAAGAAGAAAATCTCAATGAAAAAGCAAATAATACATCTCCTAGTATTTGTCGTGCATACAATCAAAATATTGGATTATCATCTAGAAAAAACTTATCTTCATCGTTTGTTGATCCATCATCATGTCATGGACAGCAGCCAACGTTGATTAAATCTCCACTTTCATCACCTTCACGATATTCGAATGATATGATTGTTCTTCAAGAACTTCAACGCATCAAAGACGTAAGTTCGATATTTTTTCTTTTATCTTTATCACGTTAGATATGGAAGGATTATAGAATTAGGTCTTTTCCAAATGTGAAAATATTCTGCATAATATAGATTTTGATCTTCTGAATTTTTTCGCGTATGTGAAATAAAAAGCCGTGCAAGGTCATAAAGTAATCGATTATGATCCCAATGAAAAATATTTATCAAAAAAAAAAGGCAAAGAACGCGTTCATAAACGAAAAGAAAATGCTGAGTCTAAAGGAATACATTCTTTGCTGTTCCGCATTATTACAGAATGCTTTCTTCTCAACTCAAAAACCGTCTCTATCTAGATAGAAAGCGTTCTGAACCGTTCCATAAACCCATAGAATGAGTTTCTATCGATTCTTTTTTGAAACGATCAGAATAGAGTTCTATCAAAATAAGATTATTTTCTTTGATGCTCTCTAGAGAAACATCTTAGAACGGTGTCTTTGAACTGATGAATACATTTCAAACATTCTAACATCATTCTTAGAAAAAAAGAATGTATTCTCCAGCGTTTCTCTAAATTGTTGAACGCTTCATCTGGATTCAACGTCGATTTTGATTCAAAATCGACAGCTCTGAGGCATAACACATTGAAAGTGACGCTAAAAATGGTGGAACATCAATGAGTTGTACCCCACAGCTGACAGTCCGGATTTCTAAAAAAAAAAATTTCGAATAATAGTTTGAACTACGAAGAATTGGACCACACTATTGGATAAAGCTCGTCGAGTTGTACTAGAACAGATTTCTCGACGAATCAAATGTTAACTTCATTTACTTCTCTTCAACGATTCTTGTAGGGAATGTGAATCTAGGTAATAATAACCAAGAACGCATTCCACTTTTATAGCAAACGTTTTTTTTTTTTTGATAAATATTTTTCACTGGATTGTTTCCTATATCATTACAACCTTTTGATACAAGATCATGTCTTCAGTATGCAATAAACACAGGGTGGTTCAAAAGTTACGCATCCAACAAAAAAATTGAATATCTCCATTAAGGCTTGAGCAAACGATCTATTTTTGTTCTGTCAATGATAGAGATATGTTCAAGGTTTATATCCATAAAGACAAGCCTAGAGAGGTCGTTCATTAAGTATCGCCAATGATCTCAACAAAAAAAATGTTACTTTTTCACAGATAAGAAAAAAAAACAATGTACTTGACAAACAATCTCTCTGGGCATGTCTTTATTGATATAAACCTTGAACATATCTCTATCATTGACAGAACAAAAATAGATCGTTTGCTCAAGCCTTAATGGAGATATTCAATTTTTTTGTCGGATGCGTGACTTTTAAACCATCCTGTATTTATTGTATACTGAAGACATGATCTTGTATCAAAAGGTTGTAATGATATGAGAAACAAATATATTCCTTTTTAGATTCAACAACGTATATCTATTCGTAAGGGATGCTAGTTGCTTCTAAAAACTGAGAACAAACAAAATATTTCTAATGTATTTTTAAATTTTTTAGGGAGGTCAAAGATGACCTCGGCTGGTACTACTAGGGTTAACACCTAGCATAAGAAAATAGTAACGAAAAATGAGGTTCGGATAGTATAGCAAGGAAGTACATACTTCAACTGAAGATGATTTCATGAACGATTGTTTCTATTGGATTTGTTATGGAACAGTCCATAAAGTCAACGGCTTATTCTTGTTCACTAGAATAGAAGAGAAAAATTGATTCAATTCACATTATTCATTATTGTTGTCTGACATATACCATGCGGAATAGCATCTAGCAAACGAGTTGAAATATTCAGACATATGGGAGTATCGGCATAGAGGTAAAGGTGTAAGGCTTTACATTTGACAATAGATACAATTCTTTACCATTCTGTATGATTATTTATGCAGAAGTACGACTGATAAATTGATGTTTACTTGCTTTTACATTAGCGAAATCGTAAGAATACAGTCGTTGACAATCATCGTAAGAGTACACCTAGATTCTATAGTTTCAGTGTCTGTATTTACGGCTCATATAGGGTTTTATTAGTTCAAATGAGAATGATCCATTTGTCGATTTCATAGAGTTTTGAAGAAAAAAGTCATATAATTAGTTTGTCATTTTTCGTAGTAAGTCTTGAGAAAAAGTCTAACTGTGCTTCGTTATTTTTTCTCTTCCATATTTTAGAACTTGGCTTTGTTAAATCAATTAGTTGATAAACTTTCAATGAAGAAATTAACACGTGATGATGATGTCTACAAACATATTGAAAATGAAGCATTGAAATTAATGATGTCTTGTGATGCATTGACCGATGTTAGTCCTGTCGTAGCAACAGTACGTCGAGAAACGGTTCATAATATACAAAAAATGTTAGATACACTCGATAGAAAAGTGTCTTTGTATGGACCACAAATGACTGGAATCATACACTCAATCTCTGTTTAAAAAGTTGTAAAAGGAAATTGAAAAAATTTGTCAAAATCCTCCAACAAAAACCGATATTGACTATATATTCTGTCGGATTTTTCGATGAAGTTCATTGTTCATTCTATTGACTAAAGTCGTTTGTTATCTTTTGATTTGAACATTGTCAAGTCATTGTATTGGCTAGATCTTCCAGCAGTTACTTATCGAGCATTAGGAGTCGCGACATGAATGTCATAAAAACATCAGGATTCAGAACAGACTATCGGTTAATCCGGATTCTGCAGGCTATAATTACTGTACGTTGAGAATTACAATGAAACGAAAGTATTATCCCTTATTTAGAGTTGCTATTTCTTCCGCTTTTATTTCTCTGTCCGAAATGATCGACTTGCACTTGTACAGTAAAAAACGAAAGACACTATCCTGTATTTTGTTTGTTGTCACAGTGAAAACTGTAGTATCCAAGAAGTTAAGATGATGATGAATTCTCTGATGTAATGAAATAATTTAATCTTTTTTGCATGGAAATGTTGGATGAATTTCACGATACTTTTATTTCTTTTCTAATTTCTTTTCATTATGTTTTGACACCCAGCAGCTAGACGCCTCGATTATTATTAAATGAGTTTGAAACAATTCCAGAGAAAAAAAAAAGAGAAAATGATCTTGAACTGCTTATTTAGTCCAACAACTGAGAAAAAAAGTCTTGCTTTATTGCAAGCTCAAATTAACATGAAAACGATCTCGGCAAAAAAAACCTCATGATCATTGAAAGAATGAGAAATCAGGAAAATATCTCGATTCAATATGCTGCAAAGAAAAATAAAGTACAATATTTCAGTTTATGTAAATATTAATAAACAGGATCTGGTACGAGAAAAAGACACAATATTAATGTTTTATTGAGTAATATCTAATAAAAGAAATACATAAGATGAACATGTACAATAAATCAGTCTTTTCAACGTGCATGTTTTATTTTTCTTTGCGTCGGCCTTTGCCAAGTAACTGTGAAATTGTTCGAACTCTTTCTGATCATCAAAAGATCTATTGCATGGAATATATGAATAATATTATTTGAGATTAATCTTTCACGAAATTCATGCGAAGTTCAATCACTTTTTGAAATGGTGTTATGATTATTCATACTAGTAATATAACTCAGATAAATATTAACGTTCAAATTATTGTGAAAACTTATTGAGTTTTGTTCATCTGTTGTATTTATCATATACTTGTCTATGTAACTTTATGCTCACATATGCAGAATAAACGAGAACTTTTTTCGTTTCTTCTAGCTTAATGAATTTTTTTCCGAGATTGTGTTATAGCTCATTAGAGCTCGGAATAAAATAAGTTCTTTTTTTCTTAGATTGTTTTTTTTTTGACTAATTAAGCACTCTGAATTCATTTTCCTTTGACAGATACCATTTTTTCCATCAGTATCACTATCTTGCTAATTCACTACCCAATACTAGAAACAATGTAATTGAACAAAAAAACAAAAGAGATGAAAAATTTCTGAGTGTACACTGGCATGAATCGATTTAGTTGTTTATTGATTATGCCTGAAGAAGACATTATCGATGTCGAAATGTAACGAAAGGAAACTAAAAATAGTAAATGAGGAAAAGTATCATGGATTTAATCAATCTGTAATTATCATCCTGTCAAATTGCAAATATAAGGGTGGAGAATAGAAGAAAAAATTGTTTCATTCTTTTCTTAGCAAAGAAACGATGAATCAATTTTTCATCTTGAGGGTGTGGGTGTGGGTGTTAATTCTCTTCACACCCACACCCTAGCTTGTTTCTTAATCCGATGAGTTGTAATTATTTTCGTTAAATTAAACAATGCAGATTTTTTTCTTTATACTAGATTGGTACAAATCATCTACTTTTTTTTAACAGATCCTCTTGTAGTCTTTCAAACATACTTTAATATCAAATATAGAAAGACAATTATAGGCTCTATTATAAACTTTACCAGTAGTTTTTTAAAATTATAATGAAGAAGATCATAAAATAATTTTCACGCTGACTGTTTTGAGACAGTCTTTTTCTTGTCCTTTGTGACATTTTTGAAAAGTCTAATGAAAAGTTTTACTGAATTTGAACGGAAAATTAGACAGATTTCACATGTATTGGATTTGACTGATCTTTACTCGTATATTCGCGATTCTCATGGAATTTCCCATTCTATTCAATTTGATTCTAGCTGTGTGCCTTTTACTTGAGGATTCGATTGTTGCCTACAAGCGCTTTTCGTTGAATTGTAAACGTCGAGTAATATCAGTTCTTTCGCAGCGAAAATTAGTTTAGTCATCACTAAGTCTAGACAAATGGCTCGTAAGATATGCATCAATAGGTGACGAATATTTCGCACTAAGTCATTCCGAACTCCGGACATGTGTCCGAGTGTTTGGAAATGACTTTTTGCCGTGACAAATATTCGATGGTAGCTCGTAATCCTTTCTGTACAGGAGATCGTATTCGAAAATACAGGAAAATCGGAAAAAATTGCCGAAAATTCGGAATGGAATGATCATTACTATATGTGGAATAGTGTCCAAGAATCGGAATGAAAAAGACGGGAGGTTCGTGATCCAATTTACGAGGAGAGATCGTAACTGATTTATTCTGATATTCGCAACAGTCATAAAGACTTTTCTTTCTTTCTTTTTTTTTCTTTATAAAATCAAGAATGATTCATCCAATATCTTCGTAATTATATAAACAGCATCTACCTTTCTCTGCCTCTACTCGTAACGCTATAATAACTGTACAAGATGTTTGTGACTGTTGTGCTCTAATCTATTCATAATATTAATAATAGAGAGCACTAATCTCTGAGGAAATGGAGTGTCACTGACCCTCACCCACGCTCATATTCCACGTTCTCCTTCTCACTCTCGGGTTTAGGACAGTTGCTCGCAGGACAGTTGCTCGTCGGACAGTTGCGCGCGGACAGTTGCTCGCTAGGACACTTGCTCGCTAGGACATTTGCTCACTAGGACATTTGCTCGTCTGGATACTTGCTCGAAAAGGACAGTTACTCGCAGGACAATTGCTCGCCGGACACTTGCTCGCGAATCATATAGTTACAAGAAGGAAAAAGAAAAATTTCTGTACTTCAGCCGTACTTCACCATATTTCAACCGACTTCAAGGGTTTTTTAAAGTTATCTCCGAAATGTTTTTAACTTTTTAAGTCTACCATAGATGTATGTCACAGAAGTACTGGTTTGAAATCATTCGATATGAGTTTATTCTAAATAAAAACCTAAATACTTTACGGTACTTCGCCGAACTTTACGATTTGAAGTATGGTAAAGCGCTGTGGGATCAGAAAATTTTGCTTTGTCTCCTCTTGTATAGCTACCTAGTGGTAATGGGTAGCTGAGGAAAGAGTAAAGAGAAAATTACAGTGCATATTCTTACTCTTACCCTGATGTTAGGTCGGCGACCATCAAAGCGAAAGAAAGAATTCTTGAACAAACAACTGAAAGATCTGGTTCAAAATACACATACAATCGTCAAGAATTATTTAGAAAACGTTCGACGTTTTTCTATGTAGAACTTTTTTGGTTCTTTCGTGCTTTTTATTGTTGGTTGTCGTCCTTAAAGATTATCTTTGTGTCTTATTCATATGTATATAGTGAACTAGTTTTGCAAGCAAGTGTCCGACGAGCAATTGTCCTGCGAGCAACTGCCCTTTTCGAGCAAGTGTCCAGACGAGCAAGTGTCCTAGTGAGCAAATGTCCTAGCGAGTAAGTGTCCTAGCGAGCAACTGTCCGCGCGCAACTGTCCGACGAGCAACTGTCCTGCGAGCAACTGTCCGTTTCCCCTCACTCTCACATCCTCATCCGTAGTGTGTGTACTATCTTAGAATAAAAACTAATAAATTATTTAACATATCTTAAAAACAGCAAACATGAACACATTTTCGAATACCGTCTTTATTATTACGATTTTCCATCATTTTCATTCCAAACTCCAGTCGAATTTTACGATTTTTTTTTTCTAAAAATCAATATTCGTTGTTCGTTACGATCTTCTGAACAACTTTCATTACGAACACCCTCTTCTTTTTTATTTTTGATTGATTTTTGTCATTTCGAACTCCTGTACACTTAGTTCCGAACACTCTGTCTTTTTTCTTATGTCCGAAGATCGTAACGAACATATGCTACTGGAAATAGTGATCAAAAGTTGGTGCAAAATATCCCTTTCCCTGCATCAATACTGATGACGCAAAACAGCTCGTTTGAGTCATTTTCTTCTGTCTATGAAAAAGCAGCAAAAACCAAACATCGATTAGAACGAACTCGTTACATTTTCCCATTAATTATGTCTCTTTAATTAACTGAACCGTATAGTGAATCGATATGACCTAATCGGTTAGTGTATGGCACCTAGATGTTAAGTCCAATTTTTACGTTGATGTGTATAGCGTTTTATTTTAAGATATTACTTAAAATGTTCGCTTCAGTTATCTTTTTATTGAATCAATAACAACTATATCCTTTTTCTTAGAATTACACCAGCATATATATATGTAGTCTCGTTTTTTTGACTGCGCAATAAGTTTTAGTTCAAGGTCAAAGAAAAAAGACGTTTTTTTGACTTTCACGAGAAAAGAAAAAAAAGAATAACATTAGAGTTTGAAGAAAACGAACAAGAATGGTTAGATCAAAGAAAAGAACGAAAGTATACGAAGAAAGCAAAAGAATATACTAGGGAAAATATCTAACAGAACGAAAGAAAGAGAACGAACATATACCCACACAACGATTTCTAACTGAGTTTAGTCTTTTATAAACATGAAAGTAGATTTTTTTGACGTCAATAATCACAATTTATTTCCTGTTTTATCAATGGTGCAAATTACCGACTAGCATAGCCTTTTTATCATCAACAAAAAGGTCTAATTTTTTTTTTTAAATTTATACTATTCACATATCTTCACACTATCATAATGAATATATTACAAACCAATTCTTTTTTTAATCCCTCCCGTGGTGTTCCTACTGGATTATACTAATGATGACAAATATATCTATGCAGGTGGACAAGAAAGAATTTTCTTATTTTAAAAGCATCTTCAAAGCACCATAATTATTATTTTAGTTGAAAATATTGCAGTGTCATTTGAAAGAGATGTCGACAGCAACAACAACAGCAATAATCAATACAGTCACTCGCTGGCTTAACTATGTTGTTGCATTACCGATGATAGTTTTTGGTATTATTGGAGCAATATTAACTGTTTTCGTCTTTACAAGACAACCAAAATTTCGTCAAAATCCAACAATTATTTATTTACTTGCTGGTGCAGTGATCACAGCTGTACATTTACCATGTAATTATTTACAAAGTACACTTGTTGATGGTTTTGGACTCGGATTATTCAATGTTAATATCGCAAATTGTCGTCAACAAAATTATTTTCGATATATGCAAGTAGTATCAGCCATATCATTTCCTTGTTGGGCTGCTTTTGATCAATATGTAAGTACATGTCGTGATGCAAATGTTCGAAATCGTTGGAGATCAATGCGATTAGTTCGATGTGCCATTATTGGAACTGTTCTCTTCTGGACAATTGTTTATTTACCATTAATATTCAATAGCATTATCATAAATGGTAGTTGTACTTTAATTGATAATCCATATCGAAAATTTCTCAATTTTGTTTTAACACCATTTGTTTATACAATTGGTCCAATTACTTTAATTATTGTATTGACACGAGGAACTATTCGAAATCTTCGTTGTACAAATCTTGGTCAACATCGAGATCATTTAACAAAACAAATTCGTCGAATGCTTGTTCCACAATTAATTGTTCTTGCTATATCAGGTATACCATTTGGTTTACAAAATATTTATACAGATTTAACAAGTTCAATACAAAAAGATTCTCTTCGAAAAGCAATTGAATTATTCTTTCTACAAATTGTTCGTTTATTTTATCATTGCAATTTTGTATGTACATTTTATATTTATTGTTACACTTCAAATGAAGTTAGACATGTTCTTAAACGATACGTGCGTCGACGTCTTCGAAGAGGTCAAGTTGAACCAACGGATGTTTCAATTAACAATTCTTTTACTCTTCAAACAATGAAATCTACTTATCATACTTAATTATCATGCATCATTAATGACAAACGCAATACATTGACTTGACTTTTGCTAATATTTCACACTATGTTTGTATCGACTATCTTACAAATTGCTTATTTGTATTGTATTCTGCATTCTTATTCATTGCTTTTTCTAAATATTACAATCAATAGCGTATATTATAGAGTATTACAACAAATAAATTTCGTAAAATGTAAATATTTTTTTCGTCAAAGATGTTCCTCATTTGCTCGCATGTTAATGTTTAAAGATTGAATATTTCTTCTTCTCCGAGAATTAAACTAAAATCACAGTCAATATACATGATGATTAAATTTAAAAAAAGGGTGTGGGTCTTGCTCTTCTATTCATCCACACCTACACCCACACCCTCCTAATATAGGATGATCATTTATTCTTCAAGATGCTCGATTAAAGTCAACTATTTTCCAATTAAGCCGATTAAAGACAGATCTTTAGGTTGAAAGGCAATTTTCATTTGATTTTCTTAGTTAAACTTCTTGAATAAGACAATCATATGATATGGAAACTTCTTGAATTATGCACTAGAAAAATAAATTTGACTATAGTTCTAATCAGTATTAATCTATAAATAAAGTTTAATCAATTAAAAATTTGTTTTTGAAAATTAACTTCATTTAATAAAAATTGAATTAAAATAGTAGCATTTCAATCGATTTTTAATGAGAAAAATTCGATTAGACTTATATTTGTTTTATAGATATAGGAAAACTTTTTTTGCCCTACTCTGCGACCGTTTCTGTCACACGCGTGCATGCCTTTGTCGCTGTTTTTTTTCCTTCTCATGGTAAGCTATTAAGAGAAGCAATGTTTAACGACCATCATTACTTTTGATTCGTTGCCTATTAGTAGTCATGTGTAGTTTGGAAAAACCTATAGGAAGACACAAATTCAATCGTTTAAAAAAATCTTATTCCAAAGATATAATTCAATTTTTAAAGTAAATAACTACAAATCAGAGAACCAGCATTGATTCGAGCGGTCATATTTCACGTAGTATTTTCATAGCTCGTTATTATTCTGTGCAACTGAAGTTTTCTTTTTTTTGTTTCTCTGTGCAAGTAATTTATAAAAAGGTAATAAAACGGAGGAAATGTATATCATTCATGTGCACATTCCATTTGGTTTTTTCCTACTAATATAATTGGATGGCGGAAGAAGTTTTACATAAATAACCAAACATTATATTGAATGAAATGTGCATCTACTTTTTTCTTTCGTCTTATCAATATTATAAACTTTACTGTTACAGCAGTAATTAAAGGATATAATATTGCGTCGTACTATAACAAATCGAGAAGAGGCTTATAAAATTGATAACCACGACGAGTATGAAGTATGAGAAATGGTTCAATTGAAAATATATCTCTTTATCACATTTATTAGATCGATACAAATATGATTGGTTGTATTGATGATGTCGAATACGACATGAGAAAATTATGGTTATGAAAATATTTTTTATTAGACGAACCATCAATTAGAAAGTAATATTATTCATTAGTGAAACAATATGAACCATCGGAAAGAATACTACATATACTCAATAAACTCTATATGAACTCCATGTTCAATGTCTGTACAAGCGAATTTGAAATAGCTCTAGCTCAATCTTTATTCACTAACGAAAAAATGTGTTTGGAAGTTTTAAAATATTTCACAACTTCATAGTAAAATGCTCTAATTTCTAGCCATGTCCCTTGATTATATATTTACATGATGCACGAAGTATTGCTGTGCATGTATTTTGTACGAAAATTCTTTCTAATAGCACAATTGTCAATTATCTTAATCAATACTTTGTTTCAATGCAGCTGAAAATTCGTCTCTTTTTTCAACATAGCGAGTTTTCATAGGTATTCTATTATATTTACGATAGAAGTATTAATTGACACAATGCTTGAATAAATATTTTGAATTGATGATGAAGATACGTTCAACGCGATATTTTCTGTTCGAACATGAAGTTGAATTTTAATTAGTGCAAGTGCAAAACTTCTACTATTCTACATAGTTATGGTGCATATCAGTCGATGAGACCTAGATAAAAATAAAAGCATTCAAGTCCTATTGTCTATTCGTAGTTATGACTGCTTACTCATCCATCAGATCTAACTATACCCTAGTCTCAATCTTGCTCATTCCTTGAGAAACCCTGGAAGAATCTTTCAGGTTCCTACTCAGATTTTTTTCTGAGTTGAGAATATAGGATCCGACCAGGATTTACTCAAGATCCTACCAATGATCCTCTCAAGATTATGACAGAAGATTCTGTTAAGATTTTATCAGGTTTTCGTCAGAGTCTAGATCAAATCTTCGTGTCAAGATCCTTCCAGGACTGATATTCATATCAGACGAGGATCTTGGCAAGAAAATAACAAGATTAGTAAGAGTACGAAGCCGATTAATCCCGAAAAGTTTCAATTAGGATCTTATTAAGAACCTTTCAAGAATATGTGTTTCCACATTTTGCAAGACAGTAACAATTTTAATCAGAATCTTGATAAGAAAATATGAGGATTTAGAAAATATCTTTACAGGAGACTGCTTAGTTTATTCAGTTATGTGTATTTCTTGAGAGAACTTCGAAGGATCTTTAAGAATCATAAATCTTAAGCATCCTATCAGGTTTGATTCAGAATTCTATCCAGAATTGGTTCAAGTTCTTGCTCGGACTTTTTTTGTATCGATATTGCAGGATCCTATCAGGATTTCCTTTCGGTCCTATTCAAGAATTTTACAAAAGTCATAAAAAGGATTTCATTAAGATTTCATTAGATTTGAATCAAGATCTGTTCTGGATCCTGTCAAGAGTTATGTTATATCAGGGAAGGATCTTATCAGGAATAAAAGAAGATTAGTGAGAATCTTCAACTGAATAATCCTGTCAAGCTTCGATCAGGATCCTGCGAGGAACTACTCAAGAACAGACATTTCAAACTCTTAAAAAAAGTACAAACATGAGTTGGATCTTGATAGAAAAATACGAGGATCCAATAAAGATCTTTACAGATTTGTGTTTAGAGACTATTCAAAATTTAATTTTCACGATGCTGTCAAGAACCTAGCAAGAATGAATGAAACAGCTTCTTCACGTTATTAGCTAGGTTTAGATCAGAATCCGTTTAAGATTTGTAAATCTATAGATCGCAACAGAATTTCAATGTCGATGTTGAGCACAATCTCAACAAAAATAAATAGAAGGAATTTTATAAGATGTTATTGGATTTTTATTTAGAACACGACAAAATTCTGATAACTGAATAATCTACTAGCATTTCTATTCTGATCCTAATTCGGTACTTTGAATAAAGAAATACAACGAATCTTAAAAATCTAAGAAAAATATTTTCTAAACCTATTTAAAGTTTATATAAAAGTTGCTTTGACATTCGAGCTGCAATATGAAGTTCTTTTTTATCTTTTCAGGAAGATAAAATTGAAAATCATTAAATTAGGGTGCTAATTTGAATTTAGTCATCGTAAATTTTTTTCGTTAAATATATAATTTTAATCAATAGCAAATCTACTGATAAAAACTCCTTATAGTTTTCATTATGTTCGAAAAAAAGATTCGAAATATTTTTTTTCAACCAAATTGAAATAAAAAGAATTCGCAATTTACTCGTAAAATCCAATTAAAATAAAAAAAATCGAAATATATATTTTTTAAATCGAATTAATATTCTCAAAAATGATAAAATTTCATTAACCAAAATAAATATGTAAAATAATACTCCATTTTCAGAATTTTGTTGAAATAATTTCTATGTACATAAAATTCAAATAGAAATTTACATCAAAGTCAGAAATGAAGATATTGAACATTGAAGTGATATAGAATGGCATGGCACATCCAGCTGGGTAAGCTGATCGGTATGTAAACTGAAGATCTAGAGATCAATATTCTATGTGTTCATGTGGGTGTGGGTGTGTATGTTGGTTGGCGAATAGACTCACTCTTCAGCGACACTTATAGTCACACCCACACCCTAATACAAACGGACTTCCTGTGCAGTGCTAGTTTTACATGTTGTTTTTGAATTCTAATAAGAAAGATTTATTCATTTAATCGCTTTCGTTGTAGTATAACAAGACAAATACTGTTAGAAAAACGAGAAGTAAAGAGTTACAAAGCAAATTTCTATAACTCTTATTTTGTGCTGTTGTTCTTACTGTGCCTTTAATGATATTCACTTCTGAAAATAGTTTCTCTATGGTTGCATCAACTAACACGAAGGTTAGCGAGATCGGATAATCTTTTGGCTCTAAATCCAGTTGATTAAACTCGAATTGAGCAAATTCCAGTGGTGTTTTGATCACTTGACTCTGAATTTGTGAATTGAGTTCTACAGTAATATTGCGTTCTTTATACGGAAGTTCCGAAGAGATGCTAGCATTGACAATAATCGCTAATGTTCCTGCGCTTGTCATTTTTTGTTGCCATGTGTACTCGCCGATGGGAGGCACAGGTCGAAGTGTTGTGTCATCTATCAATACAACAAAAAAATCATTTAACGCTTTAGAAAATGTATTTCGAAAGAAAAAGATTCTGCAGAGCAAGAGAACCTTAGTGTACGACTTCGCGACATTAGTGAGTCAAACATAATCCTACATTCATATGTTAGACCGATAAAAGGACGACTTCATGTAATCGCAAACTGGCGAAATAAATATCTGTGCAGTATTATCTCGACCTAGACTGCAACTATCTGAAAATTAATTCTTATATTTCATATCGTTTTCACGAAAAACTATCTAGTAAACACTATTTCTAAGATACTATATTCTTGAGCAAAGATACAAATATACATCGCTTTTTCTTTTGTGCTTCTGCTTTTCAAGCGGCGCAAATACAATACTTCTCCTCTTAGATCGATTCTCAGCGTTCTTGAGGGTAGCCCATAGGTTTGGCCTGTCACATTTCCTATTACTTTGACTTCCACCTACCAAGTACTAGGAAGTCATTTCTACACAAG